GAGCCTCCACCCTAGTAGCGATGGCCTCCAAACTAATAGCGGCCTTAAAAATCTCCAAGTCGTGCATCGATTCAAAACCAACACCCTGTGTATCCCTGTGCCACTCCTCCCCCACTCCGCATCCATGTGCCTCTCTGGGTTCCAGTCGCATCCTCCTTTCGTCTTTCTCGACTCGATGGGTTCACCAGAGGCGCGCAGCTGAAATAAACAAAGTCCCTTTTCACTTCATTCAGTAAGTACTTCATTGGGCCATGCGATTGCGTGACTTATTGTGCCACAAAAAGGAATTTGAATCTGTTACATATGTGGCAAAGCGGTGACAGTAAAACAAACAGAAATGTCCAGGTAAAACAACGATAATTATCCATTTGGCTGGTGATGTTCCAACAAATGCTAAATATCAAACATCAAATGCACACCATGGGCAAAACAAAACTCATGGAACGCTGGCAAGTGGGATGAACCTCTTTCGAGGTATCAGAAGTCTTCCAAAATATTCCAACAGTTGGATTTGGCCTCAAAACCCTTGAGCACGAAGGAACACAAAGGTGCCGGAACAACATGCAAAACAGATATAAAAAATGTGCTCAAACTATGAGGTTGTCACTTCAAGACATGCGGTGGTGCCAAAACTACTTGTTCGTGGTGTTCGCATGGACAAGTTGGGACGTCCCCTATCGTTGTTTAGGGTTGGTTTTGGTTTTTCCTTAAAATTTTTAGCATTCCAAGCAGGGAATCCAACTTGAGAAAAGGGGGTGGACGAACCGTTGGTCAACCAGCAGCAGCAAAAGCAGCAGCAGCCGCAGCAGGGCAAACCAGCAAAAAATGAGGACACTTGGAGGAATCAAAGGGTAGCACTGCAGGCCACCAAAACGTTCTGCAACTAAAACAAGTTCCACGCTGAAACAAAACGCCATTGCTATGGCGTTCTCCTACCCCGGCACAAAGCTAAATAACCCAAACCTTCATGTGAGTGTTTTTCCAGCAACTACTATATAACACCGTCACCGAGTCTCCACCAAGGACCAATCTAATTACCGCTCTAAAACAAAGTTCTAGACTGCTGCAAGCTGCCCTTTCTACCTCTGTCCGCCCTATACTACACATGGTGTCGGAGCTTGAGGAGGAACATCCACTCAACTTTGGGGATGGAAGTAAAGGCCATGATCGACTTTGCGTAGACGAACAGCCAGCTTGAGAGTACATCTCAAGGCGTTAAGCGATCAATGCATCTGCAAAAGCTGGACAGTCTCAACTTACGATGAGCGGCCGTGACCGACTAATTCGCTGCTATTTACAGTGCGTTCCTCGAAATCCTCGAAGTGCATTTCGACTGCGCAGGCTCGCAAAGTCTGGGTGGCCGCTACGGGTGCCTCTAGCGACTGCCCTCTCGTTGTGGCGTCGTGCGCATTTTCGCAAATACTCGCAAATGGTGGTTAGCGAGCGGGACTTTTGTCTTAAACCGCCCGGGTAGCTAGGAGTAGGACAGGAGAAACAGAAGGAAAGGCACCAACACACACAAGTGTGTTGAGTGCGATCTCCTTCTGTTACCCTAAATAGCGGGTGGGATAGCAACAGAGGCCCAGGGGCGGAGGTAGGGGGGAGGGTGGGATAGGGTAGCCTGAAGGCAGTGCCACCTTTGGCATTCAAGTAAAGCCGATTTGGGGCGGCACGCCCTTGTCTGAAAGGCACCTGAAACCTAAAGAAAGGCCTCAAGAAACGAAAAGCAACAGAAAGAGAGAAAGAACCCAAGAGCATGAAAAGCACATGCA